ATGCCTGGCTTATTTCCATTTTTTTTCCTGGTACACTAATGATGCCTGGTTTATTTCATTTTTTTCCTGGTACACTAATGATGCCTGGTTTATTTCATTTTTTTTCCTGGTACACTAATGATGCCTGGCTTATTTCCATTTTTTTTCCTGGTACACTAATGATGCCTGGTTTATTTCCATTGTTTTTCCTGGTAAACTAATGATGCCTGGTTTATTTCGATTGTTTTTCCTGGTACACTAATGATGCCTGGTTTATTTGTCTTTTTTTCCTGGTATACTAATGATACATGATTTGTTTTATATCTTTGTTTTAATCGTTGTTGACTTGTTTACTTAATGTGTACATACGGGTGGTTGCTATAATGTTTAATTAATGTGTACATACAGATGGTTACTGTAATGTTTACTTAATGTGTACATACAGGTGAAAACCTAAGTTTTCAGAATTTAATATTATAATAAGTAGTATTTGGATTCAGATGTTTTTCTATATCAGTAATAAAAGAGAAATATACAAGTTCTATGTAGCTACATAAGTGTATCTGCAATCATGTATTCTTAATATCTACAGTAGTAACATTTCATTACAAATAAATGTCATACTTTTAAATGTATAAATATATATAGCTTACATTCTGTGCGAAATATTTTATTAGAAAGGATTTTCTACATTTTAAAATCAGCACAATCTTTAACTCCAACCAGCCGACACAATTTACATTATCTCTTTTAGGGTGTTACAAACTGTAGAATAAAACAACAGAAAGTTTAGAGAAACTTCAACAAAATAAAAAGGCACTTATTCTTGAATCACACGACAGCTGGTATTAAACAGTCCCACACAAAAACAGTATTTACATATACGTACAGAATACAGAATGTTCCCAACTTGGACACCAAAAATCTTTGTGGAATGTAGAAATAAAAACCATATTATTACAATAAAGTCAAGACAGTTTGAATGTTCCACTACAGGTGGTAAAAAACCGTAATTCAGTTACTAAACAAGAACATATACAATAAACCCTAAACTTAACATGTTCAAGAAGTTATCACGTAACGGTATGTAAACAGTTTACAATAGCTGGAGAGCTGCTACTGCTTCTGTAGTCAAAACCTAAAGATTCCCGATAAACCCAGAAAACAATGAAATTATCATTATCTACTATACTAGATTAAATAAAAATAGCCAACAAGTATGCCTTAGATATAGCTTCAAGATAAATTTTCTTCTAGAACGTAAAGTAGAATAAAAGTCATTCTGTTGCTGATCTATGATGAAGTATCTAAACTTTAAAAAATCTCAACAATCTGATTAATACTTTGATGTTTTTTAATACTTTAAACATAAAAGTTTACTCAACAATCTATTTAGCCAAGCAAAATTCCTTCTTAGATTACTTGAGTAGATACAAAATAGTTGCTGTTAATATTTTGTATATAATAACATTTTCTAAAATAAAAAACACTACTAAAACTAAGTTTAATTTGATCTTATCAAAGTCATGGTGATCCCTCATTTAAGAACTGTACCAAAGTCTCTTCAGTTACATGCCAACTACAACAAGAGATTTGTTAACATGTTTGTTTTTACAAGATACAAAAATTAGATACATTTGGTAAAAAATAAACATTTTGAAAACAGTACAAACTCAACATAGGAATGAATCTATAAAATAAAGTTTTAGCTTAATTTCTAAACCTTTCCACTCGTTCTTCAGGTTGCTAGTTTAACATCAACCACTCTTTTAAACTGAGATAAATCAGAGCAAAGTGAATATTTTAAAAAATGTTTATCAATTTAACCTGTGAAATCACAGTGTATTATTGGTCAAGAGCATACTTTAACAAAAAATAAGTTATTTATAGTAATAAACTTTTAAATGTTAAACTCAATTTTAATGGTTGAAATTGAGAATAATGAATGAAAACAGGTAATTTCTTTATGCTCTTAGAACCTATGATTTTTAAATTATAGAGATACTTGAGGGAAGACAGCGGCGTAGCTTGGATCTTAAAAACCTGAAGAAGACAAGCTTTTCTCTGGTAACTAAACTCTATCAACATCTTGCTCTCTCTGTACATCTATCAGAGAAGACAGATAAGCACGAACCCGTGGCCAAATTTCATTGGATTCTCTTCCTGTGAATTCTTGTAGCAGCCCTGTTTTCCTAATTGGAAAATAACAGATAAAGTTTCAGAGGATTTGATATATTCAGGGAAAACTTTCCTTCACAATCCTATCCATCTGACATTGTGAAATAAAAACAAGAATCCAATACGAGCATCAACAAACAACCAATTATTTAATAGTTATATATACAAGATCAACACAGTCTTAGAGTAACCACCCGTATGTACACATTAATTAAACATTAGAGTAACCACCCGTATGTACACATTAATTAAACATTAGAGCAACCACCTGTGTACACATTAATTAAACATTAGAGTAACCACCTGTGTACACATTAATTAAACATTACAGTAACCACCTGTGTACACATTAATTAAACATTACAGTAACCACCTGTATGTACACAATAATTAAACATTAGAGTAACCACTTGTGTACATATTAATTAAACATTAGAATAACCACCTGTGTACACATTAATTAAACATTAGAGTAACCACCCGTATGTACACATTAAGTAAACATTAGAGTAACCACTTGTGTACACATTAATTAAACATTAGAGTAACCACTTGTGTACATATTAATTAAACATTAGAATAACCACCTGTGTACACATTAATTAAACATTAGAGTAACCACCCGTATGTACACATTAAGTAAACATTAGAGTAACCACTTGTGTACACATTAATTAAACATTAGAGTAACCACCCGTATGTACACATTAAGTAAACATTAGAGTAACCACCCGTATGTACACATTAATTAAACATTAGAGTAACCACCTGTGTACACATTAAGTAAACATTAGAGTAACCACCCGAATGTACACATTAATTAAACATTAGAGTAACCACCCGTATGTACACATTAATTAAACATTAGAGTAACCACCCGTATGTACACATTAATTAAACATTATTTATAGTAACCACCCGTA